GGAGAAAAACGTCACGATAATAATATTATGTTCCGGTGAGTGGTGACGTACGATTTTCATTCCAAGGTTGGATCATTTTTTTTACGGAGATTTGTTCAGGTTGGTGGGTTGGTGGATGGGTAGGTGAACCTATCGTGGTCTTTTGTTTTTTTCTATTTACCAACCCGCTCGCTCAGTTATACCCCACGCGAATCGCCTCACCCCCTGCCATCAACCCTAACCGAAATCGCACTACGCGTCATGTATTTATCTGCATCAGTGTGACACACGATAGCTGCTCCTGGGTACAGTACAAATCATGTAAAAGCTTTTCAAATGTCAACTAAAGTGTTAGACGCGTTTTTTTTATTATATATTATCTACTCGTTTGTATATATGTATATATACACATTATTAATGGTGTTTTGTATATAGTATCAGTAGTGCAATAAAAATAAAAATTACATTTCACAACCGTGAAACTATTCGAGAGGGGTGGTCAAACTTTTACTGTTGGATTCCTTGTTGTACCACGTTGGTGTATCTACTTGTATGCATAATATGTGTATCGTAATTATATATACAGGGTAATTCTCCCATATGTGCTGAACCCCTTTTTATTCTTTAAAAATACCGCTGTTATTCAAAACCTGTTTTTTGGGGATTTTTAAAAATACTTTTATATAATTTTTCAAAACTGTCGAGATTTTTCGTACTACATATACTTGGAGAGATAGAAACTTATGTTTTTCAAATTTTAACCTTCCTTTCCTACTGAAAACTATTCTGAGAATATTTTTTCTGTTTATTCCAACGTGCCTGTCAAAATAAAAATTTGAAAGAGTATTTTTTGAGTTATTTAAGTATGTGTACTAAGGATAATAAATTGGTCTATGAAAATGAATTAATGAGTTTGAAGTATATGGAAACTATTGTGATTTGAAAATTTTAGTGATTTGTATTAATCCACTAATACTTATAATTTATAAAACTGGTCAATGTAAAATAAATACCATATCCGATATTACATTAATTTTATATTTTTGAATAACAATTTTTAAGGACTATATCCCCTTAGTACAACAATTTTAATAACTGAAAAACTACTTGTTTGAATTTTGAATTAGGTACTTAGTATATAAAAGTTTTCAAAATAATTATCGGCTAAATATTTTACAGGATAAAAAATATAAAATTTAATAAGTACAAAAAATCATAAGAATTGTAAAATCCGGCCAGAATATTATAAAATTCCAAAAATCACCATTTGAATAAATTTACTATGTAATTTAAAAATTGGAGTGAGCATTTTTGGTGGATCACACTGTACATGATAAATTATGACCTCGGCACCAACATCCACCATATGATAGAAAGCTGACGCAATTCGCGACATTTAATATAATAATATATATGGCTTAAAAAGTTTTTCCGTTACTGGACACTGTCGGCGAAAATGCTATAAATTTTTTTATTGTTATTTCACCGGTTGATGGATTTGTGGTCGTAACATGATTGTTATTCACTCAGGCGTTGAATACAATAGTATAACAATAAACACTTATTAAATATATTTTGTTTGTCACGTCTCGCTCATATTTATAAAATAAGGCTGCGGGGAAATCGATCTTTTGATAACGTAAATAGCAAATAACAATTGAACGATCAATAACACGATGTAGATTAGATTATCTTTCGGAGTTACCAAATGGTGGCCCGTGGATGGAATTGATCTGGCTCAGAGAAGGAAGACCATATTGTTTAAATATTACTATTTTTGATGGTAAATAAAATTGGGTTATCCTTTTTTTTTAGAATTTGATTTAACTGTAATATTTTGATTAAAGTGGCCCTGCAAAGATAATTAATTGGATCGTTTGTTATTAAAGTGCTATCTGTAAGCACTTTCGAACTTATAAAAACAATATGGACTGATTCCAAGTGGCTACAAAAATAATCATACAAATATTTTAAATATTATTTAATTAGAATCGATTATTGCTATTGTTTAAAATAATATATTTTTTTATTGGTAAATTTTAAATTACCTATGTATTTAAGTACTACATTAATTATTATTCATATTTGCTGTATTAATTACTGATATTAAATTTAATCGTAAAAATCTAAAATCACAACAGCCTTAACTATAAGTACCTATATAACGTACGTACAGGGTTATTCAAAATGATTCATTCGATTTAAAAGTTTAGTTTTTAGGTTTAGAATATTAGATGATACATTAAAGAAAATAATACAATTTCATATGTGTGGCATCCCCATATATTGCGCATACGAACAACATCTAGAAGTTGAACTCAAATCCATTCCATGTATTTCCGTTTTAATTTACCCTACTACCTATTCAGTTCCTCTCTGGTTGGTGATAATGGTGATACGCACACAGTAGGTATGTTTAACATATTCTCACATGACTGGCGGAAGATCACATGACCTAAAACGTCTGCAGATGTAAAACATCGGATGGTTCATTTTCAATAACTCTGTATACATATATTTTATTGTCGGATGCATGTACCTACGGTATAACAAACAATACCTAACTAGGTGTTTCGTCTAATAATGATATCGAAATCACCGAAAAAGTCTTGAGCGACGTTTGTTCGTTTCATCTCTGCAGCTTTATTATTTGTTTGTCTGGACGGATTCGTATTTCTGTAAGACGTCGGACACGATCGGTTTGAAAAATAATCAATTTTCGGTGGTTTCAACCGAATCGCGAGTGGCGATCGATAAATCCGTTTATCCGTCGACTTCTCCTCTTGTGGCCGCCGCGGTCCCCTAAAATAATTCTTTTTCATGTCATCGGTTATTCGCGTATCGAGCAGGTGATATCTGATTATCGTGTACGCTGTCCGACCCGTTGTCGTCTAAATCTCTGTACAAATCATTTCGGACTGTGGTGATAACTCTCTGCCAATCGCCTTCCGTCACTCGAAATCATTTATCTCTTATACATCCATCCCGTAAGTGTAGCTTCCATTCAGTCGACCCAATAAGTTTACATTGAAACGTGGTTTTAAAAATCAAGAACCGGATATGCGTTATCAGTGTTTTTCAGTGGTAGAACGGGAATTAGGGAGTGGATAATGTTCGACCATAAATTTTTCTGTTATAGCGAATTCTCGAGAAAAAATAATCGTGGCCGTCTTCGATCGATTTGCGAACTGGATAATATGTAATATTGTTTTCGTTGATGTTGTTGTTTGTATTGGTTAGACACCTTCAGGTGCATGAAACAATTTATGGCGGTAACTAGACTTGGTTGCTATAATGAAACCGGGAAGGTGTCGGTCAAAGTTGAGAATTCGTTTTTGATATTTTCACCGTTTCATCGGTGCAGTATGATGCTTGTTAAAATTCGTGTAAAAATCAAGAAGGTTGATTTTTAGATCCCGCTCCCCTCGGTTGTGCATAGAGCGTCGCCGATTAATGTAAAATTTGATATAAAATATTTTTTTGAACCTCTCGTTGTTGCCAGATTTATTTATTTGTAATGCAACTGTGCACAAACAAGTATTTTAACGTATTTTGATTTGATTAAGCTCAATCAAGGTTTTTGTGTACAGGCGCAAATACGGTATTTAGGCGCAAATACTGTCCACACGTCCAATTTACTCTACACTGTCGTGAACGTCGAACGGTCGAGTGAAATACATAATGTTATAGATGTATGGAGCTCGGGACCTTATTCAGTTAGGAAGGCTCAAAGGAGTTAAATAAAATATGTATACACAAGAACGTTGGGGTGCTTACGGTATACATATATTATAAGACGTATAGGTACTATAACGTGGGTATAATATACGTGCGTGGAAAGGTATAGGATAAAGTCGAGAATTCGTTTTTGATATTTTCCCCGCATCATCGGTGCAGAATAATATTGTACACGTCCTATAATGTGCATATTATATATAATAATATATTCGCAACGTTAACATATTCCTGCGACGACGCCATCGCCCTTCCCCGGCCGAAGTTAAATAAATATCAAAACAAACACAATACCTACCTACCCACCCATATGTGTAACGCGTACGTAAAAAGTTTACACGTCGAAGAAACCTTCTCTGTTTTGTTGTTTGCGATGGTAATAATAAATAATAATCTCTCTGCGGGGTATTTACTACGCGTCTTATGCCATAGCAGCTACGTATTGTTTAAAACAATGTTTACATTCGCGAAAGATTTGCGTACCACTGTATTATTATCATTGTTGTTGTTGTTGTTGTTGTCATTGCAAAATTAAGTATTTCTTTTTTACCTCTGCTCTCATTCTCGTTAATAGTCTGTTTTTAAATAATATTTATTTTTGTATTTATATAATAATATTCTAATGATGGCTCGCAAATTAAAATAAACCATTACTTTTTTTTATTTCGACCGACGTGTTTCATTAGGTACTTG